TAGTATACATGTATATGCGAGTAATTTATAGGTGTGTATGCACGTGTGTTATGCATGTATTGATAAGCAAAGTTTGATTTAAATCCTACATGGCGCCTCATAGCTGTTCTTCATAAATCCACCAGATGACTCCATTTATCAGTTAAATCAATATCATACTATATCACTGATATACACTGATGATCAGAGTAGACATGCGTACATATCAGTCATAAACATCAGTAAAATCAATTGTCAGTTCATAGTAATAATGTCATGTTTATGTGGGAATATGATTTCTCCCTCTAGTGCTCAAATAATGTTATAGTTTAATCTCTGAGGGAGTTTAAAGCTGCTTTCTTCGGGTTCCAGCACATACATCTCTTTACTAACTACTTTTGCAACTTAAATCGCAGCACTTCTGCTGTTATACAGCATAATGACTGTTATTGAGGAAACACTACAAAGTTCATTGCAGCGTGACATTAAAAACTGATCTGATTTTCTTGCACACAATCACATAAACGTTGTAAAAACCATCAGAAAACCAAATATTTGCTAATTGTATTAATTTCTCAAATGGGGAGATGGGGCATTGTAACATGGAGAGGGTTGTAACACCACCAGTTCCACCAATCAGGGACAAACTCATAGTCACATGATCAAGTCCGAAAAAGAGAAATTATCCAGTGAGCATCAGTTCTGTGGGAGAAAATGCCTTGTTGATGCCAGAGGTCAGAGGAGAATGACCAGACTGGTTCAGCTGACAGAAATACAACAGTAACTCAGATAAACACTCGATACAACTGAGGTGAAGAAGAGCGTCTCTGAACACACAATATGTCAAACCTTGGAGCAGATGAGCATCAGAAGACACACAAACTGAGGATACAATTCACACAGGCTCACCAAAACTGGACAATAGTAGATGTCACAGTTACTAGCTGGTGTGCCCAGGTTGACCGCCAGAGGGCACTCTTTCTCTGCTCTTTGGCACTCAGCCAGCCATGAACTTCAGTTCCCATAATCCTTTGCCTGGGCTCATCAATGATTATTGCATTCACAATTTCACATGTGTGTCGTTACATTGTTTGTCTCACCCTATTTATACCATGTTCTATCTGTGATTTCTCATCGAGGTGTTGTAATTGTCACACGCCATTCCTGAGCACTCTCCCTTGGCTTTTTGTTCTTCTGTGGATTGTTTGCAAGTGTTTCCTGGCATGACTACGATTCTGGATTTTCCAATAAAGTTGAGCTTGGATCTCACTTAGTCTTAGTCTTAGTCTCATCTGTGACAGTAGATTGGAAAAACATTGTCTGGTCTGATGAGTCTTGATTTCTGCTGGGACATTCAGATGGAGGGTCAGAGTTTAAATAACACGAAAGCATGGATCATCCTGTCTTGTATCAGCGGTTCAGGCTGCTGGTCTGAGGGATATTATCTTGGCACACTTTGGGCCCCTTAGTCCCAATTGAACATCATTTAAACGCTCAAATCACCTCAAACTGGTTTCTTTATCATGACGGTGAGTTCAGTAAACTCAAACGGCCTCCACCGTCTCCAGATCTCAGTCTAATAGAGCAGCTTTGAGATGTGGAGGAACAGGAGATTCACATTATGGATGTTCAGCTGATAAATCTGCAGTAACTGTGTGATGATATCATGACAATATGGACCGAAATCTCTGAGGAATGTTTACAGAAACTTGTTGAATCTGTGTCATGAAGAATTGAGGCTTTTCTATATATATATATATATATATATATATATATATATATATATATATATATTTGTGGGTATAAATGGTATAAATAGGGACACTAGATGGCGCTAGTTAATAGTGGGATGTCATGTTTTATTTGATTAAATTTAAGGGTCATGGTTTGTTAACCAACTGCAAATGAAAAAAAAAATGATAGTCAAGTTCTTGAATTCTTTTATTGGATTTTGATTTAATTAGCATATGTCTTACATTTAATTGCAACATAGAAGCATTAATTTGTTGCTAGTTACCACCCTAAACTAAAAATAAAGAAATTATTAACAACCATCAGTCATTTTTATACATAAATAAAATCATATTTCAACAGAAAATCATACATATACATTCTTAAAATGTGACTATATAATATTGTATTTCATCACACACTGAGAGAGTCGTTTATCTGTTAGATTCAGTGTTTAATAGTAAAGTCTGTTTTATTAAAGCTAATGTCAGAGACTGTGAGTCTTCATATGAGCAGGAATGAAAAGAAAGCCCTTCAAACACACAGTAATGAACGACACCTCAGTGTGTGTGTGTGTGTGTGTGTGTGTGTGTGTGTGTGTGTGTGTGTGTGTGTGTGTGTGTGTGTGTCAAACATCGACCACAAACATCCAACAGAAGCTCATGCAGAGCCAGCAACAAATCACACCACTTTTCTGAGCAGAGCAAGCCGAACACCCCAGGCGTTCATTTAACACAGATTTATATATTTCTGAAATGAGGAGGCAACATGTTTCGTTTCTTGTTTGTTGTTGTTTTGTGGATTTGTAAAAAGGGAAAACACTGAGGCTTTCAAAAGTCAGATCATTTAGATCATTTGTTAAAAGTTATTGTACATTCTTAAAGAGAGAGTTTCATTAGTCACTGAATCTCATGCTTGAAAAACCTCAGAACTCAATCCAGCAGTTTTAAAGAGCCGAGAGGAACGGCAGCGGTTCCTGTGAGAGCGCTCACACCGCTGCTCTGGTTCTTGAAGGTCGATCTCTTCTCGTGGTGATCGGCGCATACACCACATGATCCTCCTCTTTATCATCCTGCAAAAACACAATGCATAATACTAAATACATGTATGTCCTTGAAATCATGTTACAATATAAAACCAGCCTCAAGTGTGTCACAAACATCCATAGGTCTGTGTGTGTGTGAGAGACTTGCACTGTTTCCTTTCGTTTGTTTCCTTATGCCTTTTTTAATGCTTACATGAGATGCTATAAAAATGTATTCCAGTACTAATGGCAAAAATGGCTGTGAAATCAACAGTTATTTACTGTAGATTTCACAGTAACATTACTGTATAAGATTTTTACAGTAGAATATTGTAAAGTTTACAGTAAGACCTTAAAAATCACAGTAGTCCAAGCATTACAGTAGAAATCACAGTAGTCCAAGCATTACAGTAGAAATCACAGTAGTCAAAGCATTACTGTAAAAAAATCACAATTTAGCCACTATAGTACTGTAAATAGTAAAGTAAACTACTGTAATTTTACTTTTTTTATCATATATTTCTTTGTACCCTTTTCAACTATTGAATGAACTAGTAACATTTGCTCTGTAATTTTACAAAACTTGTAATGAAATAGCCTCGTTTTGTAAAAATTTCTTCAGTCGTAAATTAAATTTAGCAACAGTAGAATAAGCGGGATAATATACTTCACGCCATTAGACTATCCAAAGTTAACACACTCCGCTGGGTGTTGTGGCCACATTACAAACATAGAATGTGCGTCAACTTTGGATGATATAATGGCATGTTGTCCAATGTCCATTATCCCTTTATGTTGTACCTGTTTTGTCATTCCTGTTCACCAAATGTTTTTAAATAAATAACTGTTAACAATTTTCTTATTGTCTGCAGTTGATTGCAATGTTTTAGAAAATGGGTGATTCTTTTAATGATGGCTAATATTACATCACAGTGATATAGTATTTAAATTGTACAGTGAGAAACTGAATTTACAGTGATTAACTGTTATCCACTGTTTATAGTACTGTATTGCATACAATACATTAAAAACAGTGCTTAACTGTTTTTTTTGTATGTAAATGCAATTGAAATCACAGTACTTTTTTTTCTTCTACAGTAAAACAATCAATACTGTAAATACAACTAAAAATCACAGTGTTTAATTGTTTTTTATTTTACAGTGAATACACAAAATACTGTAAATGTAAGTACAGTACCCTTACTGTAAAACGTATTCACAGTAACTTACTGGTAACAATTAGCCAGTAAGTTACTGTAAATACAACTAAAATCACAGTATTTAATTGTTTTTGATTTCACAGTGTATACATAAAATACTGTAAATGGAAGTACAGTACCCTTACTGTAAAAAGTATTCACAGTAACTTACTGGCTAATTGTTGCGGTTGTATTTTACGGTAATTTTTTTACAGTGAAGAATTGTGTTGATTTGCTCTGTTTTCCAAAAGAATCACAAAAAGGACGTACAACATGATTTGGACTGTGATGTCATCATCTGAAAGGAAATACTTCATCAGTGGCTCATTTTGAACACTGGAAATATTAACTAATGTTGATCTGATGGTAGAATGAGTGTTGTGAGGATTATGGCATATGTTTCTTGCATTGAATGCTGATCTTTATACACGTTTTGTGTTTGTGTCTGTATGATGATCTCTCACACACAAGCGCACTCACTGCTGAACTGATACACAGACATGAATTAGTAATAAATGATCTTACCGATATCTGTGCTCTTCTTTTGTAGAACGCTGGCTCGACATAGATGATTTCTTCTTCATGAGTCTCAACTGTTTTAATAATAATAAGATGTAATACAATAAATAGATGGATTAAAACAACAAAACTTAATGTTAGTCTAGATCTGTTTCTTTACAACAATGTAATTATGGCTTCATTGATCTGCGCTTATGCACCTTATTTTAGAGTGAAAAATCCTGTGCTAGTTAATATAAAACAAATTTGAATCCCATATTTGGTAATAAAATAGCATAAAGATAAAAATGATAAACACATTTTTGGAGGCCCGTCATTTTTGAACAGGAACACCATAAGTGTAACAAGTTTTATGTTATATCTTGTGTGAGCAAAGTCAATAAGTTTTGGTCCAATGCGATAACATTAACATTTTCAGGAAAAATAAAATCCTCTTCAGGTAAAAATGACCACAACTCAACATGAGGTTAAAAGGAACTACACTATTAAAGTATATTATCATTTGATATAACACTTATTACTTTTACAAATTCAATAGCGTTTATAATTTAACACTTGCCATTTCGATCAGTTCTACATTTCCTGCAGATGCAGAAGATCACGACGACTGTAAACACAATCATCAGAGATCCAGCAGAGATCAACACTATCAGAGACACTGAGACTGGAGGAACTGAAGGAGAGAGAGAAACAGTTATTAGTGTCAGCTAGTGATCAGAGAACGTCACAGATAGTAGTATTTTGCTGCTTTACATTTAAATTAATTTCAAAGTTTCTCGTCTATTACATTCTACTGTGGGTTACAGTAAGAATCAAATTGTATGTGTTTTTATTTCAGGCTGATAGGCAGCAAAGAGTGCTGATGATCTATATGTAAATATGAGTAACAATCTGAGGTATGCCGACGACACAACACTGAAAAAAGTAAGATATGGAACATCTGTTGAGGAAACTCAAGAGAAGAAAGTCTAATTATCGGACTAGAAATAAATATAAGGAAGACCAAGATCATGTGATCAAGATCAACTGATAACATTGATAAATTCGCTTTTAGGTGCCCATGTGACCACTAAAACACGAGAAATATGGTGGTAGGCAAGACGGCTAAGTCTTTAGACAAAATATTCAAAAGCAAAGACATAGTGATGAAGATGAGACTAGTTCAGACACTCATATTCTTCTACATTTGCGTTTCCAGAAACGTTGTTTCCTGTGTGTGCCGTGAATGACAAGACGGACCAACAAGTCAATCGGAAATCAAACCAGAAACTCAAAGCACAAATGATGAAACTGCATTAGTCGTACTTTGGTCACACGGTTTGAAGGGAAATATCACTGGAAAGTTGATCATGATTGGGAAGATTGAGGATAAAGGTGCAGAAGAAGACCTTCAGTGAGATACGATTACAGCGAGGACAGGACGGAAGCTGGAGGATCTCATCGCACAAATGCAAAAACAAATCCTATATAATTCTTTAGTCTATCAGTCACAATTTAGTCTATCAGTCACAAAGACTCAAATCTGAGCTGATGGGACATACATATCAATAATCCATATAACAGAGATACATAACTACATAAATAATCCAAGTAACAGAGTTGTTTATGTTGAGTAAAATCAAAAGAAGGGACATAGTTCAACAATTTGAAATCAATTTTTAAGCAATAAAATGCTGAACATTTGTTGTATCATCAATAATTGAAACCTGCTCCAGTCTTTATAATCAGCTCAGTAAATACACACACATGTGTCATCAGTGCTGCTGTACCTGCACATGTGTGGCAGAGTGTGTTGATGTCCAGATGTGTGGTCTGGTTGCTGATGGGATTGTTCAGCACACAGCTGTAGGTGTTTTTATCCTGATATTCCACCTCCAGAGGTAGAGAGAGACTGATGCTGAGATCACACACACTGATGCTGGACAATACACTCATTCCTGCGTACCAGGAGAGAGTCACATCACTCACATTCAACACTGAGCACAGCAATGTACAATTCTGGTGTGATGATGATGATGATGATGATGATGATGATGAACAGTGTGTAGAGTTACTGCTGATGACAGGAACAGGCAGACGAGCTGAGAAACATTAGAAACAGAATAAATCATACTATTAAATGACTGTACCAGAAAATGTAATCTTGTGTATCTGATTCACAGGTTCTTAAGCCCATATACTCTTTAAAGGGTCACTCCACCCATTTGCATTAAGAGGTCCATTGTTAGACAACCAGTCATACTATTGAATGGTCGTGCAACATTCTTTCATTTTCCCCTGAGACGAGAGAAATCTACTATTTACCTTTTTCACTTCCTCCTACAATGACGCAAAAATCGTCATTTGACGTCATTGTAGGAGGAAGTGTAAAAAGGGGGGATTTCTGTATAGACTACAAGCACAAATTCCCACCCTTTCAAACCCGCCCATAGGGGGTTGTGCCTAATGCGCTAACAGAGCTATCACAGATCAGTGGGTGGGACTTCACTTGCAGATACTTGTAAGGGTGGATTTTCTGCAGGGGTTCAGGCTGCAAGACTGCCGAATGACTAAAGAAACGTTATTAGCAAGATGGTAGAAAACTGTACATTTCTTGTCTATTCCACCCACTGCCACTTATACCAACGACGGAAATAAGCGCAGTTACAATAGCTTAATATGTGGGAGAGCGTTGCTATAGAGAGTGACAGTATTGTATTGCAATAGATAGCACATAAAAGTCAATACCAAATCAAAACTATTTAGCACATTAGTTGTAATTGAAAAGGTTTAATGACAAAATATGGTTATGGTTACACTTAAAATAGTTACAAAATAGATGTATGAGATGATGATAACTTATACCAATAATCTTACCCAGCATGTAAAATATTACCAGAGAGAGAGAGAGAGAGAGAGAGAGAGAGAGAGAGAGAGAAGAGGAGGCAAAGGGAGAGAGCCCCAAGAAAGGGAGAGAGCCAGAGCATTAAAAAAGACAGAGCAACAGTTACAGTCTTCTTTTATCCTTTCCCTGACCATGTGACTAAAACCCAAATGTGAGACATTCAAACTGACCAATCAGATAATTACACTTCCCCCATTTTTCTAAAGGTGTGACAATTAATAGACCCCCAAAGTACACAAATCTTGGCCTACAGGCCTTGATCACTATCAGCCCCTCTGTGTCTTTGGGAACTCCAAATGGTCCTTGTGGTTAAAAGAAGGGGTGGAACACAGTAAAGCATATGTCTTTGTTAATTTCAAATGTCTTGGATTATTTTCAATCCTACATACTGAAAGCAATATCAGCCATCTTGTTTATAAGCTACCGGTAAGCTAACAAGCGCTGTGGATATAGGAAGTTACGACAATGACGGAAGAAACTAAACATGATATGGAAGTAGAGGATTTTGAAATTCTGCTGCTCGAATCCGCTGTTCGTGGCTATCTTTACGAGCCGCAATATAGTGAAGAGCAGCTGAGGCTGATGGTGGAACAGGAGGCGGCTGCCTGTCGCGGACGAGGAGCCCGGGCTGGCTTGAGCTGGGCGGACTGCTGGTGCGTGTGCTCTCGCTGTGCGCTACGGACACAGATAGAGTCCGTCTGCTGCAGAGAATTTCAACGATGGCAATTTCTCCTGGACGAAATCTCTGAATCAGACGAGCACACGGACGTTTGTGTTGTGATGTGAACCATCCTAGTTTCGCCTGACTGAACATGCAGGTATCATGCAATAATTCACCATATAGAAAGAAATACAAACGAGTAATTCACTAATGAGTTTGCCAATGTAACGGGGTTCGTTGTTGTGGGAAGAAGGAGGCTGGAACCGGCGAACATTTAAACGTTTTAATAGTAAAATAAACAAATACAAAACAAAAGTATAAGCCAGCTGGCCACACACAACAGAAACAAAACATAAAATCAGGCCTGTTCCTTTTGTGTTTCCGCTCCTCCGTGAGAGATATGAGACCGCTGCACAGGTGTCATTCATTATCACTCGCGTCGTCCTCTCACGTCCCTCGCCCTCGTCCTGCTTGCCACAGCCAACTAACTAGACATTTTTTGTGAAATGAATTTCAAACTCATTTGGCAGCTAGCCTTCTTGTAGACGGAAGAGTGATTTCTCTGATGTTTGCGCTGTTCTGGATTAGTGGGAGTGGCTTGCGGAGCTGTGGCTTGCGGAGCTGCATTGTGGGAGTTGTTGTCTTACATACAAATGCGCCCCAAAGTTATTTTCTGTCTTTTCTCGGTCAAGAGGGCACCAAATTCAAAATGTCTTTTACATTTCGACTACATATATAACCCACTTTCAATAAAGATTAATGTTGAAATGGGTGTAGTGACCCTTTAAGCTAATAAGGTTAAGTGTATTTGGCTTGCTGTCCACCGTGGAGGGGATAAACCCCCAGTGGGACTACTAATGCTTGGACGATGAGTATGGTAGAAGCCTATATTATGTTGGTGGAGTTGGGGAGGAGGAGGGACGCCAGAACAGCGGATGCCAGAGCGAGTGAGCGGCTGCTTATGCTCCGGCAATTCATTAAAAGATTAGATGGGTTCACTCCTCCCGAAATTACACTGTGAACTTCACTAATCATACAGAATATAGAGATTGTGTATCTTAGATCTTACTATTTTAAAACTGAAAAATAATATATTTAGGACAGGTCTACTTCAAACCGATAAAGAAATAAAGGAAACCAATATTTAACTCACCGTAGACAGTGAGACTGAAACTCTTGATCACACTGCTCATCTGTAGTTTATAAACTCCAGCATGTTCAGTTGTGGTGTGTGTGATGATCAGAGATCCAGTTTGATGATCCAGCTTCAGTCTATCTCTGAATCTCCCATCAGGATCATCATCATATACAGTCATGCTGTCGGCCATTACATTGATTTCAGCTATTAAAGTGTTTTCATCTCCAAACCTCCACAGAATCACATCATCATCCATCATTTCAGTGAGATCAGAGTTTAGAGAGACTGAATCTCCCTCCATCACTGACACTGACTTCACTGCATCTGTACCAGCAAACACTCCTGGAGAACACACAGACGTAAATAATTTTACACACACACACACACACAGCTGTGTTTTTGTGATATATGAGGACATTCCATAGGCGTAATGACTTTTATACTGGACAAACTGTATATTCTATCCCCCTACACTGCCCCTATCCCTAAACCTACCCATCACAGGAGACATGCTGCATTTCTACATTAAAAAAAACATTGTTTTTTATGTTTTTTAAGCTTTTTGAAATATGAGGACTCAGGCAATGTCCTCATATATCACGTGTAAGTTGTAATACCAGTGTAATATACATGTCATTATACACATTTGTGTCCTCATATATCAAAAAAAAAAAAAAAAAACTCAGTCTTTGCCATTTGCAATCAGATTCTGATGGTTCCAAAATGTTTGCTAACTGATTTTGCTAAACAAAAAACATCTAAAACATTTTTTTAATAATGTTCTACATTGAGACTGTAAAACTGTATTATCTTCAAATATACCTTAATGTGATATCCACATGTCATTTTTCTATTAATTTAGTGAGCTTATTAATAAGCTGACTGAATCTGTCCATTATGTGATTAGTAATGCCTGAATCCAAAATATCATAAATCCAACGTATTACTTTGAATATAAACCAAAGCATGAACTAAATCAGTAAAAACAAAAATGCATTAAAAATACATTTGTAACTTACCATCCAGACGCCACAAACACAAGCTGAGCAAAACAACATGAACCATTTTCTCTGATCACTGTAACATTATAATGGAAATCTCAGAAAGCTGCTGTCTTGAACAGTGACAATAATTTAGTGTGTGTGTGTGTGTGTGTGTGTGTGTGTGTGTGGATCCTCCCCCATCAGGACTAGACCACCCTTCACTGACCACACACTGGATTTCACTCTAAAAGCAGTGGTGGAGGAAGTACTGAATCTCAGAAGGCTTAAGTAAAAGTACAAATAACCAGAGACATATTTACTTTAGTGGAAGTAGAAGTATCACAATGACAACCCTACTTAAGTAAAAAGTAAAAAAGTACCTGATTTTAAATGTACTTTAAGTATTAAAAGTAAAAGTACTTGCATAACAATTTATTCTCTTAATGTCTATATTCTAATGATTAATAAAACAGTTAGGCCTAATCCTAACTCATTCAACCTAATAGCCTACTCCTATTATGATGTTTAATAATGATGGAAAAACCGTTATTTTTAAAGTTTCTGTCACCATTTCTGAACAAGCTTGCAATTAGGCAATATACATCACATCAAGCTTAACGTGACAGGGTTTGGCTGTAAACGCGATTCATTTATGGCGTAATTATGAACCTCTTGGCTTGCCATACTAATCCTAACCAAACGTAGAATACACACGCACCCCACACCACTACTGAATCTACCCTAACCTACCCATGCATATCCTATCCTATGCACATAAAAACAAATTTCCGCATATAAATTGCACGATAAACACACTGCGTGCTATAGATGTTATTCGATCTGCGTCATCAATGTTTGCGGCGGCCATATTGTTGACATAGAAACCACGGCAACTGTCAGTCTGTCAATTGACAAGCGAGGCAGCGTCGGTATTATCCATGGTATTATCACTGTATTTTTTATTTTTAAACAGCGTGATGGTGTGTTGTGTAATACACGGCTGTTCTAACAACAGCAATAAGAACCCCGGAGTTAGTTTTTATGATTGCGATAAGTTACCGACTGTCAGAAAGCGTGAAGGGAAGGAGACAGAGTTGAGCCAGCGCAGGAGAGGCTAGCTAGGATAAATAGGCTAAACTTTCAGCCAACTCCCCATAGAAAAGTCTGTTCCCATCATGTTACTACAGGTTTCACACATAATCCGTGTGCAATGCGTGTGCGGTGCGTATACGGTACAGAAGCAGGACGCGCTATACTTTATATGCTGCGTTTGCAGTGCGTAACTGATCCGCGGCTGTACCACAAACACCCCGGTACTCACTATTTTTATTTTAACACATACTCACTATTTCAACAACGTAAGCCAATTATTCCATGCATTACTTCTATATAAGTTGCTCAAGCAAGTGGTAAAATATGTAACCATGTACTTATATTAAAATCGCAAACATTTTAAATGAAAATTTAAAATTGACAAAAACAACCGACTCTCATGCCTTTTCTTTTGCATTTACATTTTAATACAAAAAATCTTGCATGTCACAAAGAATTTGTTTTTCCACCTCCACGAATGAGACGAGTGTCGTTCATTATGTTGCCTTGTTGAGGTGCATTGTAGTTTGTACGGATAGCCTACTGTATGAACGAGATCGTTATAAATATCCGGATAAGTTACGGCTGGCAAAGGTGGCAATAAGGACGGATCTTTACTTAAGCTTGATTGGTGTGGACCCACATCAAATAAGCATTATCTTCTCTTGATACCGACGAGATGAAGCCAGGCTACTGCTCCCCTCAACTCAAATCTGCGCGCGGTTAGGGGCAGCAGGACAGATGTCATGTCAACAATATGGCCGCGGTTAGCTACTTCCGGTGTTTGCGAATAAGTTCTATGCATTTAGTGTGACCGGGTTGATATGGCAACCAAACTTCACTGGTGAAACGTGCGACAAACGGACGGTCAGGATGACGTTTTGGCAGGGGAAAACTGATCAGAAAATGTAACGAAAATGTAACAGAACATTGTAGAAATGTAGTGGAGTAGAAAGTATAATAATTGCTGCAAAATGTAACGAAGTAAAAGTAATAAGTATGCACTATTGATTCTACTTAAGTAAAGATACGTGAAAAATTTACTTAAGTATTTGTACTTCGTTACATTCCACCACTGTCTAAAAGTAGCCTACACAACAGCCTTTATCAATAATCACTGTGGCAGAAAACATGTTATACCACAGGACGTTTACATGATTTGGGCAGGTTATTATTTTAGTATTGTGTTATTCTCTCTCTCTCTCTCTCTCTCTCTCTCTCTCTCTCTCTCTCTCTCTCTCTCTCTCTCTCTCTCTCTCTCTCTCTCTCTCTCTCTCTCTCTCTCTCTCTCTCTCTCTCTCTCTCTCTCTCTCTCTCTCTCTCTCTCTCTCTTTCTCTGTGTGTGTGTGTGTGTGTATAGGAAGAATTACCGTATCGATGTAAATATAACTTCACATGTGATAGCCTATGTTAATATCACTATAAGTGATTAATGATGAGTCAGATTAAATATCTGTAACTTATATTTGACTGTTTCTGAAACATCAGTATATTTTATCAGTATCAGTTTTCGTGAAAAAGGAAGTCTGATGGTGAGGTTCATATTAACAGGAGAGGAAATAAAGACACTCTTTACCCACAAACTTCTGACACAATAATCAACGTGCCTAACAATAATACACACATATTTTCCATCCGTCAGGTCAATCTACTTTTTCTTTTTTAAATAAATGAGGCCGCAGAAGTTTCACTTTGACTCAGTTGCTGGTGTCACATTCTGTGACTCGTGTTGTGTCTGCGCTAGAAAATAAATGCGCTGTGGGTTTCTGTGGAGCTGTGGTTGAAGAAAATGTTTATGTTCAAATGCAACCGTAGTGGGGGACTGAAAATCGTGTTTACTTTGAAATGTATTCCTTCTATTTTCATTTTATTGCATTCTGTTTGCAAATCAGTCTCACTGAAGCTGTATGACTTGTATCAAATGCATTCATGTAGAAAATGCATGTATTGAACATGTGTACCTAATGTGATGTTCACACATTCACAGGATAAAGTTAGGCCACTCCATGAATTGTATTCTAACCCTTACTCTATAAGTACATGTAGTTGATTAATATTAGGCCTACTTAAGCTATTTGAGTAAGTGCACTGTATACGTCACCTTAAAATAAAGTGTAACCGATCGTTTGCTCACCAGACCTTAATATGAAAACTTGTTAGGAGATGATCAACGATATTTGCTGGTTTGACTGATCATGATGTTCCCTTTCGTTGTCACTCCGAGTTCCGTCGGATGACGACGAATGGGGGTTTCGCTTAGAAAGCCTATCGACTTCGAGTATACAAAACGAGCCAATGGCAAACAAATGCCATGGGTCTGCGGAATTTGCATGGCGCAACTCCGCCCCACCTCGTGGGGATAAAAGGAGAAAGCCAGCAATATGCAGATATGTTTTTGCTTCGGAGCCAAGATGTTCTCTTCACTCCTGCAGTCTATTCTCTGACTATCTTCGAGAATCTTCAAGACGAGCAGCTTCCAGTCGGTGTTGGTGTGATGGCGTGTTCCAGCGAGTTTCACATTCCTGCCTGCTGATCTGAACAGCTGTGTGCTTCTCCCTGGGCGCTTCAGCACTGCTGCAAGCTTTTCTCACACAAAAAGAGCGTGCACGCGGCGCGTCTTTTTAAAGACGATCTGCCCGTGCATTTCTGAGTGCGGTAGTCTGATAGATTCAGCTGATGGGCACGAGCGCTGTTTTGACGTGTTTGGGCTTCGATCACGTTCGAACAGCGCTCGCGGATGCGTCACGTTCTCTTAAGGGAACATGACCATCGCAATGTAACGGTCAAGACTCAATGAGCTCAACTGAGTGAGAGTCCCCTCATCCACACCCCGATCTATTTTCTCCACGTGAGAGAATACTTTGGCTGGTGGCCAGGGTGACCTGAGATGGCTGGTGTGGAACTAAACCGCCGATTAATATCCGTGGTCCACACCCCTCTCTTTAACATTGCAACCCGCGCGGTTCTGAATGAGTTAGCTGGTCAGAGCCACGTCCTAAGGACGCCGGCGGGCCGGCATCTCATTCAGTTCCCCGGCTGATGAAATCATGTCTATCGCCGCGTCACAAGGTGAGCTGGAGTCCTTTGGAAGTGAGGGCTCGTCTATGTTGCCACTCTCGGGTGTGCAACATAGCGAGTCTGATCCAGAGTTGACAGCTATGCTTCCCGGGCAGCCGCGAGTATCGGGCATGTGTGGATTACTCTGCCATGTCTCGAGCACTCAAGGCTGATGATTGGTTTTGGGGAGGCGAACCCCAAATCCTTTCTACTCGGATGTGCATGAAGAGGTTATGAGATCGTGAGAGTCTCCTTTGACTTCGCGACTGCTCAGCAGCCTCTTCCACCTTCTCTGCCCTCGAGAGGCCGCGGCCATGGGTACACTGGGGTTCCCCCCGTGGAGTGTTCTGTGGCAGCACGTCTGTGCCCCCACAGCGCCTCCACCTGGCGTGGCGACCCTAAGCACCCCTCCAATGCCTGTAGGTTTTTTGTCTACTCCGGTGGCAAAGACCTATAGAGCAGCGGACAGGCTGCCGTCTCACTGCATGTTATTGCCATCCTTCGGGGTGCTCAATGACATGCACGAGGGTAGGGCTGATTCAGGGCTCATCTAAGAGACTGCCTGCCGCCACCGACCTCGCTCTACGAGTGACGAAGGTGACCGCACGCTCCCTGGGTCAGGTGATGTCCACTTGTGTGGTCAGACATTTCTGGGTTAACCTGGTTGATATGCGCGAGGCTGAGCGAACCGCTTCCTCAACTCCCCCATATCCCAGGCTGGCCCTTCGGCGGCGCGGTCGAGGACTCTGCCCAACAGTTCTCGGCCGCCCAGAAGCAGACTGAGGCTACCAAACACGTTCTGACCCCGCGGCCAGCTGCTGCCGCCGGCTCAGACGCCTCAGTCAGCTTGCCGCCGAACGCGCCCTCCTGCGACTTTCGCCCCCTCCCGCCCGGCCCCAGCAGCTCCGGGCCGCGCCGTGGAGGTGGTCGCAGGAAAGCGCCCCAGCCCGTACCAGCCCCGCAGCCTGCCAAATGCCGGGCAAAGCGGCGCTCCCGTTACGGGCAGCTCAGAGATGGGTTGCGGTTCTCCAGGAGGTGGTTGCAGGGCCACTCCTTTCCCCGGTGGAGGGCCGGGGGAGAACCTCTGTTTCCAGAG